GAGCCGACAAACAGCTGATCAGCTGTTTGTCGGCTCAGCGTGGCAGCCATGTAAATGTAAATGAAGCCGGGATCATTTAAATCACAGCTTCATTTACCTTTGCCTACAACCCTAATCTACATGCCTCTGCCGACAGAGGCATGTAGTCTAGACACAGCCTGTTTGTACAGCACCTAGCGCAACGAGGGGCTGGTGCAGGACTGGGACTCATAGGGGCACACTGCCATACTACAAACAGTACCACTGAAATGGCAACACAACAAGCACACGCTGACAGCCCCAGCAGGCACAGCCAAAGAACGTTCACACTAGGGATGTTAAATATCGGTTAATTGAATAGTCAAGTAACCTCATGAATTCTTATCAGTTAGTCAACTATTCTATAGTCCCCAGGGGCGGGTTGGCAGCAACTGTATCAGAGGCAGCAGTGTAGGGTGCCAGGCAGGAGCTGGTCCGTGAGGGGAGCCAGTTTAAAAACCAGCTCCCTTCGTAGACTGGCTGCCTGTCACCCTGCGCTGTTGCCTCTGATAGAGGCAGCAGCCCAGGGTGGCAAGCAGCCCCTGTTCAGGGGGTGGAGGGAGGGCGGTCTGAGCTCTCGGACCCAGCACGAGTCAGAACTGAGCCAGGCTGCCTGCCTGCCTGGTTCCTAATACCCCACTCTGCAGACCTAGTTGTGGGTGTCTAAGGAGCGTCTAAGCTCCTGGACCTGGCACAAGCCAGAACTGAGCCAGGCTGCCTGCCCACCTGGCTCCTAATACACTTTCAATGCAGAGCCGCAGTGGGGTAGGTTCTGGACCCGGCAGGAGCCAGAACTGAGCCAGGCTGCTGGCCAGTCTGCTAAAAAATTGATTGGAAAGGGTGGGGGGAGGGAAATGCGTGTAGTCTGTAACATTAACTTGTACGGCTCTGCTTATCAGTTAATCAGCTACAGTATTACATCCCTTGTTCACACCGGAGTCTAGGCCCAGGCTGACAGAGACCAGTGTGGGGGATGGTCCAGTTTTAGCCAGGAGCGCCCTTCTGAGCCATGCAGCTGGCTTGGCTTAGCTCGCCTCTCAGCAGGCCTACCCAGAATGCCTTGCACTCACCCGAAGGCGGAGGAGAGGCTGACGTGCTTTAGCGGCTGGGGGGGGCGGCTGAGGACTGGCGCATTCGAGATAACAATCAGCTACGAAGCAGAGCAGCTAGTTCAAGGATTTAGTGCGTCAGACACCAAGGAAGGCTTCGGATTGGGTGGCAGTGATGTAACACCCAGAGAGGTGCCGCCTCCCTTTCCCTCTGGAAAAGGATGGCAGCTCCCGTTTTGCCTCCTCCCATTTCCATTCCATAATTGCACCGAGCGTCTCGAGGCTGCGTCGTCTGGGGGGGAATAGTTCTCGTCTCATGTGACTGTGTTGCCTGATCTAAGATTACGTGTTAATTTCTAATTACCACCTCTATGGCTGACAGGGTCTTTGTCCCAGGCCCAGTATTCAATTATTCTGTGGTTGGGAGCCCTGATGTGCACAGTTGCAACACTCACACTATAGAAACTCTCGTCTATTTACAAATATCGTTTATTAACCCAGTGAGCACAGTCACGAATATCCCAATTTCATAAGATAGACAGGGAATGTCCATCAACATTTCCATACCACGTAATCACACCATTCCTTCTAGAACAACCTTGGGTGTTAGCCCATCACCTCTCTCATTACCTTCACCTTCTCCATCATCACCAGGGGCCATAATTCCAAGGGTGACATCTTCTTCTCCTCATCGCCCCTAGGCCAGGGTCCCATTTTTATAATACGTGATGCTGACATGTTTGATGCATATTCAGTAGGGGACGTGTTGAATGTTGAAGTGTCCTTTTCCTATAGGTTAATGTATCACTGCTCTCGTCTTACTATCCTATACGTCAATTCGTTACCATGGCCTTCGTTGTCATCCATCACATGCTGTGTCCTGATTATTCAGCTCAGCCTGAACCAGTTATTTTGGGACTTTTTATATTAATGATGCATCTGCTGAGTCTGAGGGCATTTTGCCTAACACCATCCTAGTTGGGTGAAAAGTCCGAGACATAAGTTCCCCTTTACAGTCTAGGGAAGCTATAAATAAGCTATGGCCTGTGTCTGGGTGAGACCCGGGGCTCAACCACAGAAATTTGCTAACCTTAGCTTCTGCTGATCTTGCAAATGGCCTGTTACAGCCTTTAGAAGATTTCTTGCATTACTGTTACCTCTGTACTAAATCTACCCATTCATATATTAATGAGTGAATCCAAATCAACACAACCATAGTGGTAGCATGATAGGCAAGCAACTTAATAGGCTACAGCTGAAAGGCAGGAGGCACACCCACCTGGGCCCTGTAGTCCCCACCTGGCAGACACAAGGCAGTGGAGTTGAAAGGGGCCCGGAGGAGGGAAGGGAGTAGCATTTCCACGGCGCACACTAGAATTCTGGCAGCTCCCCCCACAGGGAAATGAGCTGAACCTGTAAAGTGATCAGCCCCCTCAAACATCCTCCTAGACCTTAAGAAGACAGATTCTCTGCCGCTTTGCACTATGGGTAGTCACTGTGCAGAGCAGTTCCAATGAGGGCAAAACCAGAGGGGTGACATTTAACCCCCCGTTTTACACAAAGATGAATGACTAGCCTAAGGAAAGGCTGGGGACAATTAGGCCACGTCTACACTAGGGATGTAAGCGACTAGTCGACTATCTGATAAGCAAAAGCTTATCCGACAGTTGACTAGTCCCTCGACTAGCAGGGTGCGTCTAGATTACATTTTTCTTTCAAAAGAAGATATGCAAATTCCACATTAATTTGCATATCTTCTTCTGATCGTTTTTTCGAAAAAGCAAGCAGTCTGGACATAGTTCTTTCGGAAAAAAACCCCTTTTTCGAAAGAATGCTGTAAAACTCATTTTTTGATGAAGAAGTGTTCTTTCGAAAAAGTGGGTTTTTTTCTGAAAGAACCGTGTCTAGACTGCTTGCTTTTTCGAAAAAGCGATAGGAAGAAGATATGCAAATTCACGCTGAATTCGCATATCTTCTTTTGAAAGAAAAACATAGTCTAGACGCACCCTCAGAGGCAGCAAGGGGGGAGGAGGAGCCAGTGATGGGGGAAGCCAACAGGCTCTTAATACATTTAAAACGCAGAAGCGCAGCAGGGAGGACCTGGCATGAGCCGGGACAGCTGATTCCTGGCTCGCATTGGGTTCCCCCCACTGCGCGTTAGCCTTTTAAATGTATTAAGAGCTGATAGACTCTTAATATTTTCAAAAGGCAGAGCTACAGTGGGGTTAGCTGCTGGACTGGGAGCTAACCCCGCTGCGGCTCCCCCACTTATCGACTTGTGGATGGAAAATCCATCCACTAGTCAATTAGTTGATTAAACTAAATTTAACATCCCTACTCTACACTGAAGAGCCAATATCACCTCAGCCAGTGCGGCAC